GGTTTAAGCAGTAAATGCTTTTTGCTGTAGAAAAATCGTTTAGTTGTTGCTCCCCCAGTGTTCGCTCCTGAGGGGCATGAGCGTTTAAAGCACGGACATTTGCATTCCTACTCCTACCGTCTGCTGTTCGTGCATTATTGTTCCTATTGGTGTTGTTGTTGGAATTAATTCGTGAACTATTGTTGTTATTATTAAAGCGGTTCCCATTAGCGGATCGATATCTTTGACTGCTATAATTATTGAAGTTATTATTATTAGAGGAAGAAAATGACCTGTTATTCCTATAGCCAGTAAAATTGCGAGTTGGGTTAGTCCCACGATAGCCACCACGTGAAATTCTAAACGTATTGATACCACGCGATCGAAAAGTTAGAACCTGTCGCTCCTTCACCTCATTATTCTGCTCTATAATTAGTTTTGCAACTACGTCTTTAGAGTCTGAAAATTTTGTTGAAGCTAAAATTGATTTTACTAAGTCAGATCTGGCGTTTAGACGACACACGCCATTTCGTGAGCCTTTTCTTGAGTCATTCCTTCTATAATTAATGACCGCTCAAGTGAATCGGATAAATCTTCAACGCGTTTGGCAAAGTCTGAATAATTGTTGTTGTTAACGTGTAACGCCGCTATTTTCCCAGCCACAACTTTCGAGTTGTCAGGTCTGATTCTATTGCGTAGAGCAGATTTTATGTCACTAACAGAATTTATTTGTGTAGGTATGGCTTCGCGGGCTTTTCCCTCTAACTTGGATTTCAAAAATGCAATTAATGTACTGGTCAAATTTTCTTCAGCTAAGTCATGCTACGAGAGGTACTCCCCAAGGAGGAGTTCTCTCCCCCCTACTCTGGAACCTTACAGTAAACTCAATTCTGATGAGACTGCAGAGTACCGGCTGTCACGTCGTAGCGTATGCCGACGACATTGCACTTACAGAAACGGGCAAGCATCTCCAAACGCTAAGCGAACTTTTGCAGAGCGCTCTCTGTCTCGTAAACAGCTGGTCGAGGGAGTGTGGACTTAAAGTCAATCCCACCAAGACCGAAATGATACTATTCACGAGGAAATATAAGATATCGTCTTTTCAGCCCCCTCCCTAAACAGGGTGGGATTTACACTATCCAACGAGTTTAAATACCTCGGTTCAATTCTCGACAGGAAATTGGACTGGAAGCGGAACCTTACTGAACGATCCAGGAAAGCCATTACCGCCCTCTACGCCTGTAAGGCAGCGGTAGGGAAAAGATGGGGGATGAAACCACACATAATACACTGGATGTGTACGACCCATCCTTTTCTATAGGATCACCGTATGGTGGCCGGTTCTAGAAAAATCCACTTACAGAGGCGTATTGGACCGAGTACAAAGGGCGGTAACCATGTTAATCACGGGTGCCCTGCCCTCTACTCCCAGTAGGGCTCTGGAGACTGTATTGAATCTTCCCCCTACCGATCTTTACGGTAGATATCAGGCAAGCTGCAACGCAACTAGACTGAATGCAGCTCATACATGGTCCCTCCATGTTCGGTTCGGTCACTCAAAAATTCTGGGCACCATTCCAGCAGCCCTACATAAGCTGGATTACATTTTCTACCAGAATTCCAGACAGAAGCGACTGGGTAAACCGCTCGGACTTAGATCCAGGATCTACCGCTATCTTTACGGACGGGTCAAAGCTCGACAATAAAGTTGAAAGCAGAATCTCCTCCAAAGAACATTCGCTAAACCTAAGCAGACGGCTCCCTGACCACTGCAGCTTTTTTCAGGCCGAATTAACAGCCATAAGGGAGGCCGCCCTATGGCCTAAAAA